CCTTATTTAACCTAAGGTCATATCCCATCCTAAGGCAAATCTTCCCTCCCTTACAACATAGCAGTTTGTGGCAGAGAAATATGAAGATCCTTTGCCTACATAATATTGATAGAAATATTCATAGAAATATTCAGATACCAAAAGAGGACATTTTGTGTAGGAAAGGACTAATCAAATTAAGATAAGAGCTTCACAAACATTTTCACAAAGAATAATGTAAATGTTGTGTGTATTTTTTATACACTGTCTAAGAATTATCAAAATTTCAAGGATTCCAAAACAATGCAAAACAACAAAAAATGTAAAGTCTGGAGCAAATGTTAATGTAATACGAAGCTCAGTAGAAGATGTGCTTGAGTGTTTGTGGTTTGATTTGTCAGTCCATGTTTGTGGTTTAATTTGTCAGTCCGCGTCATCCTACTTTCAAATATTTAAAAATTCCAAGATAGGAGAAAAACAAATTCATATGACCAAAAGCAGTCAATAGTGAACTGTCAAAGCTGACATTTCATGGACAATCATAAGATGGCATTTAAATTAATAAACTACTTGGAACATGTTTACTTATCAAAAATATCCACAGAAATCAGAATTTATTATTTAATCATATGCAAAGAAAAGATAAGCACTATATTTACACTGTAATACAGTTTGACTAGCTCTAAAATAAAACCTGATATCTAGGGAGATTTGGATAAGATTAATTATGAGGAAAAAAAAAAAGGAGAAAAAACAAGAAAGAAAAATCTCTTAAAGCAACTGAATTTATTGTAGGCAAAAAAGGAGCAGAGCTCCAGGTCAAATGTTGTACTAGTGCCCAGTCTGGCCCCAGTGCCATAATTCCAGTAGTCAAATACTCTTTATTTATACCATGTCTCTTTTCCACTAGTCTCATGCATACTAAATATTTACAATTCAGTTCTCAATTTATAGCTGTACATTGGCAACAGCTTTTTAAAATATTTAATAAACAAATCTACTTAGCAATTCATATGTCATTTGGGAATAATGCAACAGAATTTCTGGCAAATAATACCACCTCCTAGGGTGCTTCTTCATTGCAGAACAAACCAGACTATTATGACTCCAGTCAGTATTATAATCTTATATGACATCTGAGAACACATTGAACTGTTGTTGCTCATAACTGTGGATTCCCTATTCTGATATACTTTTGCATGTTGTGTAAAATGTCTGTGTAATTCATACTACTCTTTTTCTTAAGCAAATATAGACTCTGTTTTTATTAGAATATATAAGATTCAGACATACACCTGAACAGTATCTTTAAAACTAAATTCAGCAATATTTCAGTGTAGAGTCTCAAGGTTTAGTTTTGTATGCAGAACCTTTAACTTTACATATTGTAGAGACATTATTAATTGAGCAATTGCAATAATAAATTTTGACTAGAAGGGAGCACTTGCTAAACTCTTGAATTCTGTTAGACTGCTCATTCCAAATTATTTCCTTTCTAGAGCTGCAGCATGAATGGAAACATGGAAAGCGACAGAGCACCATATGCAGTAATCTAACAATGTAAAGGCAACTGTCCTCTGCCTTGCTGTGGAGAACAGCTGAATTTTAAGAGCAGAAAATCATCCTGTTCTCAATACTTGCTAATTGGTTGAGCATTTGACTGGTGGTCCACAGGAAGAAAGAAAATAAAAAGGCAGGATTGGGAAAGACTATGCAGAAAAGACATATGCAAATCAACTACAGTTTTTAATTTGTTGGAAGTAGAAATTTTAATGCTCATGACGTATCTATCAGCTCTACAGTATTCTAACAGGTCTTTCAGCTGTAAATTCCTTTTGCCATGAAATCAATTCATCAAAGTTCAATATTTTACTTGCAAAAGGCCAAATCACAGCAGAACTTTGTTGCCTTCTGCTTACTTCGGAGGGGAAAGCCTGATTCTGCAAATAATTTGTGCCTACCAAGCTGTGGAAGAAAGAGTCTTCAAATGTAGAGTAATAATAAAAATCAGAATCAGGGACTATTAAAAATTAAATTTAGTCATTTTTCAAAAGCTTTAAAAAGCTTAATTTAGCCATTCTTGCACATGTTAAATGTTGGACATCTTTTGCATCTGAAATATTATTTTGCTTCTGGCTCCTTTTAATAAGTCATGATGAATGTTTAATGATGTTTCTTAAAAATATCCACATTAACTAACCATGACCCCTTATCTAGGGCAAAAAAAGAGAACACTTAAGTTAATGACCTAATGCCTCGGGAACCCTATATTCTTTAAAGTACAGAACAAGTAAGGACATTTATAGATCTGGTGGGAGATAATAAAAAGTGCCCGATTTACATTGAAAGTCAACAGCAGTCCTCTTCGGACCTCTAAAACCCTCACCATTTGTCAAGTAATGGGAGTGCACACAGGTTATGTCATAAAGTTAAGTGCACAGATAAAGGTATTTGGGAGGAGAAAAAAGTATCCTGTGCTCTTCCTAGACAAATTTTGACTTGGATGAATTATTTTTTGCTTCGACATATAAAATGCCCCATCAGGTGTCAACAGAGTAATCTAAGATTGCTCCATTTGTGTCCTGAGAACGCATGTAGCATGATTAATCACTGCTGTGTTTCACTGAAGATTTAGCTTCTCAGTCTGAACTTTCTGCAAAACAAAAGCTGGTAGTTTTGTGGGGAGAAATAAAAACATGGTTCTTTGGGGTTATAGGCAGCCTTTCCTATCCTGAGGCACTGTTGTCCTCGTGTGTATTCCTTACCCTTTTCTTCAGGAGCTTCAAGAAGAGGTCCAAGCTAGAAGCCTGGTTGCCCTGTGTCTGTTGGCTATGGGCACTGGAGAGAGAGAGGGTCCTCTGTGGGCACAGCAGCCCACAGGTGAGCTTTGACACCTTTTCTGCATGTCTGTCACTCTGGCTTGTTCATGGAGGACTACTTTGGCAATGGCCATGGGAATAACTAAGTTTGATGTATGATGCAGGGTGACACTGGACCTGCTATTCCTCTCCTGGATGACTATAGAGAAAGGTAGGAGGGAGTAACTGATTCAACTTCCTGCTGAACTTTTGGCTTTTACATGTTCAAAACAAGAGTTTAATGGAAATTTACTTCAGAGAATAAAACCGTAACTCTGCTTGTTGTTGCAAAGCACTGCATAAAACTAATGTTTTATTCATCAAAATAACAGCAACCTTTTCTATTTTTTGTCATAGAAAACATACTTTCTTTTCTGCTTATTCCTTATGAAACAATCTGTGGCTCTGTGATTCTAAACTCATTCCATTATTTATTTTGAAGACGGATGTGTATTATTGCTAGTTCCCTTTCCAACAACTTTTCTTTTAGGTCTCATTCTTCATTATTGATTAATTTTAAGATTGAAGTTAACTTATTTAGAAAGTTCTTTGTGATTTCTAAATGGTTTTGCAATTTTTGGGAGATATCAATACCTATAAAATCTGTAGGTGGTGGTTTTGATCTATAAAATCTATAGATCTATAAAATCTATAAAAAGATCAAGACCACAAATATGGTCAAGAGTATTTAACTTATCTCACATTAACTTTGCTCATGAAGGGCAATGAGAAATATACATAAAGCAATTGAGGGATTTCTCTTCATCTTTACGATCCTGATAAGGTCTATAAATCCATTAATGTACAAGTTCAACAGCCTATTTTAGTTACAATGTATTGAATGGTACCTTAGCAGGACAGAATCCTTTCTTTAAGAGATATATACAAGGTTTTCAGGTTTTTTCTCATCCAGAAAACAGATGTTTTCAGACAGAAACAGAATGTTGAGTTTCATTAGAAACACATACAGTAACTAAGCTGTTTCAAATAAGTAATTCACAGCCAAATAGACCATGTGTCTCTTGTCTTGGTAATTAGACATTTGGGGCAATACTTTCAGAAGTATCTTTAAAAATAGGAAAAAAAAATCAGGACACTCTGTTTTGTCAGGATAGTTACTCCCTTCCTAATAGTTGATTAGAAGTTAATTATAAGTTCACTATTCTGACCAAATGGAATTAATTGAAAACTTTGTCAAAGCATTTTCTTCTTAATGATAAGACAATATATAGTTTGTTTTTCATAGGCATGAAATTTCAAAGCCAGATCTCAAAACTATTTACTGCTTTTATTCCAGCAATTGGCCTCAACACATTATTCATGCACACACTTGCTCATATTTTTTAGGATACATGCTAACACACATGTATATGATATGTCTCTGTCCAAATACGTGTACCACATGTGAACCCTCTTCAGAGTTTAGAGCTATGGTTGTACTCAATAATTTAATGCTCTGTGTTTGAAAGGGTTAAAAAACTGTAATTTGATGTTTAGTTTTTGACATGGAGTACTGCATCCAGCTCTAGGGTCCCCAGCCCAGCAAGGACATGGACCTTTTGAAGAAAGTGTAGAGCAGGGTCACAAAGGTGATCAGGGGGCTGAAGCATCTCTCCTATGAGAAAGGCTGAGAAAGCTGGGAATGCTCAGCCTGGGGAAGACAAGGCTCAGGAAAGAATTTAGATCAGCCTTCCAGTACTTTAAGGGAGCTGAGAAGAAAGATGGAGAGGGAAAATTAGCAAGGAAATGTAGTGATAGGGAAAGGGGGAATGGCTTTAAACTGAGAGTGGGTTAAGACTGGATATTAGGAAGAAACTCTTTGTTCTCAGGGTGAAGCACTGTAACAGGTTGCCCAGAGAAATTGTGGATGTCCCATACCTGGAAGTATTCAAGGCCAGGTAGGATGGGGCTTTAAGCAACGTACTTTAGTAGAAGTCATCCCTGCCTATGGCTAGGGATATGGAAAGAGATGATCTTTAAGGTCCCTTCCAACCCAAACCAATCTATAACTCGACATTTCTGGTTGGTTTTCACTTTCATTAAGGTCAGCTCAGTTAAAAAATTTGTTGTAATACTAGCTGGCATCCATGGAATTTAGCATTTCTTTTAATAAGGCCTTTTTGAATTTTCAGGATTTTCTTTGTCTCTTTCCTCCCTCTTTTCTATTCTGTTGAAGAAAACATGGATATGAACTTGAAGACATCTATGAACTTGAATGGTGCAAAGTTGAAAAACCTGTAAGAGAAGCTCTGGTGAGTCAGACTGAAACCTCATTCCTTTTCTTTGGTATTTAATCTCAAAAAGTGGCAAAAAAAAAAAAAAAAAAAAAAAAAAAAAAAAGTAAAAAGAAGAGGGCAAGGATATAGCAAAAAAATTTCTAAATGCTTTCTCAGCCTTCATGTACATGTCTCCATATGGTCATATGTTTAATAATTCCCAGTAGTTTTAATTTCTCTGAATCCACCCATCTGCCTTCTACCCATGCATAAATTTAGCAACTATTATATTGGTGTCAAAACCTACCAGATTCATTTTACATTAAATTATAAATATTTTGTAGTTATGTTCAGCCCTTCCCTGTAGACAGTCTGTAATTTTCTTCTCAAGGGCAACCAGATCGAATGTCACATTCTTGAAAGACTAATATATTATGTAGATAATCAACATGTTCTTTAGAAAGCAGCCAGAGTTAAGTCAACAGGTTATGTTAAGGTATCCTGAGGTGATCAATTACAAGGTTATTTTCTGAAATGTAATGGGTTTGAAATATTTCAACAGTTTTAATGTATTTATGTGACTTACAAAATTCAGTTTCTAGATTTCTATCAATTTAGAGGGTTTTAGTATAATTTCATCCATTCCATTTACTTACATTTAAAAGAATACATATGTAAGTTGGCAATACACTTAGAAACTAGTACAAATTCAATTAGATTATGCATAATGTAATTATATCATTTACCTATTGCTTTTTTGTTCCTTTGGGTCCGTTTTTCTGCTCATCTACTTTTCAGCCTAGAAATTAAACACATTCTTGCTCTTTTTCATGCGAATACACTAGACAAACTTAAAGAGTGGGATGTAACAAATTGATAAATTCATGGAAATGAGAGGAAAAAATTATAGAATTGCCTGGGGAAATCTAAAGAGAATATAAAGGGAGTTTAGATTAGTGCAATATGCATATTAATAAGTCAGAATAAGGTATCCATTTATATAATTCCAATGCCTTCAATCCATTGCTGAAGTTGGTCCCTGGTGAGGAGGCTTAATTTAAAATACAGAAATGCTCTCCAAGTTCCTGAACTCAAAAAGAATGCAATTAACATCACTTGCCAAATGAGCCCATTGCTATTTTTTGAGACTGTTGGCAGAAACACAGGAGCTTATACTGAATCTTTGAGATCAGAACACAACAGAAAGTGTCCTGTCCATTGCTCCTTCCCACCAGAATTCTCAGTTACTGAGGATGTTTAGTGGCCAATGGCTTTTATATGTAAACTATGAAGTGCATAACATTTATTTATATGTAAAATATGAAAAAAACAACATCAATTCTTATTTAAATAAAAATAACACACACCAAAATATGCAGTGAGAACTACTATTATAAAGTAATGGCCTACAGTGGAACCAATGATGTTTCCATAATTATTTCATATGCTAATGATAAATGAAAATGTTGTTTCCTGTTTAAAGATAAATATTGAAAAATTTTGGCATTGCAATATTGACCTCCATGGCTCCGTTATCAAGAATTTGCATTTAAATTAGAGACATTATTCCTCATATTGGGAAATGAGCAATGGAATAAGTTTTTCTTTTCATCTCTCTGTTCCCACTTTCAAACCAATTCATATCATTACTGATTAAAAGTAAGTTTGTTCTGAGATGTTAATACCCTCTTAAAAAGAAGTTTACAGCAGTTTCTTGAAAGCTGCTGAAAAAAATTGAGAATGATTTTTTACATTAAATCACTTTCATATTGTATATTTTTCTAGGATGTTCCTGACAGAAGTGCTACTGGTTTGAATGGAAGATGAGTAGTTATTCAAAATGTTTTTGTAAAAGAATTTTAAGTTAATGCTAGATGAGAGCAGTCATTTTTACTCTGTGATGTAAGTGTTGTTTTTTCAGGTTATCTGAGATTTCAGTCATTTGATCAAGTAGCAGAAATAGTACTCTCATTTGGTTAAATGGTGACCTAGGTTCACCATAATCTCCAGTTTTGTCATCACACAATATCTCCACATCTGCTTCTCTTCAGTTTCCTTTAAAGTGAGAGGAAAAATATATTTAATTTTAGCAGAGACATTACCATAAGGTCAAGGTAAAAATGTGAACTAGACTAGGTATAATAAATAGTTATATGTATAGACTTGCCTTTATTCATCCAGGCATATTATTACAGGCAATATCAAAATGGTTGGTTTGTAATGTTTGCCAGATTGAAATCTTATTTGCATAATGTGTTTAAAAAGTTATACTCAATATTTGCAAAGAAGTCAATATTTGTTGCAGGATGATTTGCATAAATGAAATAAGATTAAATTAAATTGATTAAAAGACTTACTAGCCTATAGCATAAAGTTTCTGCACATCCTCAGCAATACCATGTGAACTGGTAATAATCAAGAATCTCAGAAAAAGTGTCAAGGACAATATAGATATAGATTAAATGTTATCCATTTTCTGTAATGGTGATTCCTTTTCTTCATGCTTAATATAAACTGGAGGATTAAGGATAAAGACATTTACAGACTGTCTTTGCATTAATTATGTTGATATCCTTCATGTCATTATGAATCATCATGTAAGTTTTCCTGTGCAGTACTCTCTCTTTTCTAAAACTGTCTCTTTTGTCTTGGGCAACATTTGCAATTTGTTTTTACTGAAGACAGAATTGGTAAGATTGGGAGTGATCCATCTCCTTGCTAGGGCAGGGTCATCCTACAGGACATTTCACAGAATCATATGCAGACAGTTCTTGAAGATCCCCAGTAAGGGAGATTCCACAACCTCTCTGAGTATCTTATGCCAGTGCTCAGACACCTGCACAGTAAGGAAGTAAAATAATCTTCTTCACATTCAAGTGGAGCTTCCCCAGGCATAAGTTTCTGCCTGTTCCCTCTTGTCTTGTTGCTTGGCACCACCAATTTTCACTTAGTTTACCTCCTTCGTTATTTCTGAAGTCTGACAGAAAATTCTTTCTGTCCCCAGCTGTTTACGTTGAAGAATCTGACTTCCACTTTGCATTTGACTCCATCTGTAGAAATACCTGTAAGTAGCACTTTCAATATGTTTATTTATTTATTTTGACCAACTAGAGTACTGTTTAATCAAACTGCTGGAGGTAATGACTTTGAAATAAAACAAAGAACATACAAGAAATGTAAAAGTTTGATGCACTTGAAAAGTTAGTGTTTTCTTTGAAAATACATACAGGTACTTTCTTCTCTTTTTTCTTTTATTCTTTTTCTGGTTTTCTTTTCCTTTGTTTGATTAGGTTTTTTGTGTGTTTCTTTGTGTTTTGTTCTTTCTTTGTTTTTAGTAATCTTAAAAATGGTCTTTTTTTACAATGTAAAACTATTGTTGCTTTGTCATTTTTCTGTATAACTTCAAAATACTCCTCTCTGTCTTTGAAAGCATGGGACAAGCTTATTGTTATATTACCCCCCAAGTGCCAGACTTACTTGGCTGACATGTCTTTGTGTTTCTCATGTTATTAAAAATCTATCCTTAAGTGTATTAGGCTATTGTAAGAGGAATCATGTAAATACTTTTACACAGTAATTTGCTGCATTTAAAATGTCTTTCTGTTACATGTCAAAATGTTGGGTTCTATCCATATTTGTAGTAAAGAAATTGCAATAAAAATTGTAGAAACAATCCAGCATTAACAGTAATAGATTGTTTTCTTAGGGAACTATTTCAGGATTCCTGGAACTAGCTCATCTTCCTCATTGGTACAGTGAGGCTTTTCCACATCCTGAAGTCAGATGGCTCTTGTTTTCTTAGGGAACTATTTCAGGATTCCTGGAACTAGCTCATCTTCCTCATTGGTACAGTGAGGCTTTTCCACATCCTGAAGTCAGATGGCTCTTTCTTCTTGCCAAAGTGTCAGATGGTGCTGTGCTTTGTGTCTTGCAGTGGTGTTGAGGGAAGAACACAGCTTTTTTTGCAGCTCAGACCTACCCATTAACAGAAGATGATATTAGTTGGGCATCTTTCTGCTGTTTCTAGGTAAGCTTTTTTTTTTCCTTTTTTGTAGGGAACAAATAAGTATTGTTTGTCTGAACTGACATTCATATAATTGTAAGTTGTCAAAACACACTGAAGGCATTTATAAAGGTCCTTGTATTATGAAGCACACACCCACCCACCTCAAACGTGCTTTGAGAATCTTCTGATAAGAAGTTGTAGTAGCACAGGGGTGGAAGAATGATTTAAAATGACAGGTTGAATAAAGTTTTTAGTGCTGAAGGGAATTATTATTTTGATGTCTAAGCTTGAAAACATCGCACATTGTATCTGTGTAAGAAATTCTCACTGAAAATCAGTTCTATCCTTCTTTGGACTGACTAGTCTGCAGATGAAGACTGAGTCCACCAGTGATGTTGCTGTTGCCATGAAGATGTACCATTACTACCCTTTAATAAGCTAGCTCACGTTCTTGAAACAGTATGGCCACATTAGAATAAATGTCCCCAGGCTGTTTTGTCCTGCTGAGAAGCCTGGACAGAGCACGGTTACTGCTTCCACAACTTCATTTATCTCCTTCAGCTTCACTGAAATGTGCCAAATAAATGTCCAGCTGTCTAATTCTATAAGAAAACTGCCCTTATCCTTAAAAAAAGGCATTTCAATTGTACTTACTGTGTAATTCACTGTTAAAAAATATCCCCAGATATGTGTATATGAACCACAGCTAGTTGAGGGTCATGTTGAATTTAATTTTGAAAACATTGATTTATCAAAGGGATCTGGTTAGGGTTAAAGGAGGAGAAAATATATGATTTCAAGATTCTTTTCACTCATTATGAGAGCTTCTTTCCTCTTTCTACAGCTTGAAGGCCTTATTGCCATTGATCCCTGCAAAGCTATTGAAGTGTTTTTTCTTTATTATAATTTTCATATTATAATTCTTTATTACCATTTTCTTTATTATTTTTGCCTCAATGCTAAGAACCTGGAGCTAACCAATAGAAATGAAATTACTTATTTTGGATTTTTGGCAGATAAACCAAAAAATGCTAGTGCACCTTTTTCTGGCAAGAGCACTTGGTGATGCATGCAAACAAGGTCTGTTATAATGAGCTGCTGGCCAAGAGGAGGCATCAGAATTTAATCTTAAGACTTATGTCCTTTTAAGCATATGGTGCTTAACGAGTGTCTTTCACAGCCCAACTAGTAATGAGAACTAATCTAAAATGAGCTAGCAGCAAACTGCAGCAGACCAAATAGGAGAGTCATATTCCATACTTTCAGTGTAGAGTTAATAGCATTTCTAAAATTTAAAGTGCATTGTTGACATTTCAAAGGGTGGATATGAACCAGTGGAATGTCATAAACCAAAAAAAAGCTAGGAGGGGTCAAACAGTAGAAGGTTTTGGCATAATAAACATTACCACTATGATTTTGTTTATATCATGCTTCACTTGTACGCATCCATATCATGACCACTGCAGCCTAATCAAAAATCTGTTTCTAAGATGTTTTGGAAGCCCTTAAAACATTTGCATCTTCCATATATTATACCACTGAGACTCGAATGTGAAGGCTGAATGGAATGAAATAAGCTAATGTCTGGATATTAGATGAATATTTAAACCACTCCACATACAGATAGAAATTATGAAGGAAAGGGGAAAAAGGAAGAATTAATTGCTATACATACTAAAGCTGAGCAAATTCCACATAATTGAATCTGTTTCAAAAAAGTAGGAATACCTGACACCTGAGTTGCATGGATAACATATTTTACCCAAGTGCTGTTGGCACAGGTCCTTGTCACAACATTGTTCAAAGGGAAGACCTGGCATATAGTCAAAATTTATACCCAATGTGCTGCAAAATTAGGAAAAAGCCATCCTGACATTAAATTAAGTATTTTGTAGACATCCAGTATAAAATACTAAATGTTTGCAGGAACGTATGCTTGATCATTGTGTTCCACTTATAGACCAGGTGTGGTACTGCCTTCTGCACTGACTGCTAAAAGCAGCTGAGAGCCCTGCTCTTAAAGATTTTATCTTGATAGTTATGAGGAATATAAGTATTTCTTCTATGCCAGGATTTCAAAAACATCATAGAACAAATAGAGGCATACTTAGGCAAACCACAGAGGTGACAGCACTTGTATAAGTATACAGTGACAATCTGGATGTGTTTGCAGGGCAAACACCTACTGCCTTGGGGAAGGGGAAGAAACACACACACAGAGACATATATTTTATAAATATATAATCTTTTTGTTCCAGATAGGTTCCAATCTTTGTAAAATTTGTCTTCCTACTAGAACTTAAATTCTTTCTAGGTCAGTTTCTGGTGAAAATAATTTATAGGTTTATTGTGGCTTGTTTTTTTTTTTCATTTTTGACAGACTTTAAAAAAGGGGGATTGAGATACAGTAATTTTGCATTTTATGAAATTGCATAATAAAAAAATTAAAAAGCATTTTCAGCAACTTGCTTTCTAAAATGCAGGCCCAACTGTGATTATTGTGGTCATTTCATGCTGCTGGGATAAAATAGAAAATAAGAAAAGATTAATACTGGTGATACATGCTAGATGAAAACAAAGGGGTGACAGAAAGGGGGATGAACTGGATGTGTAACATATTATGCCTGCTTCCATGGAAATCTTATGTTCTTTGCATTAAAAAAAATATATGCACAAATAATTTATGTAACACTCTTTAGCTAGTTACTTTAGAAGTGTAACATTTCGGTATCTCAAATTCCTTATTTGTCTTGCTTCTTTTTTTTTTTTTCTTTTTGTTTTTTTTTAGTATCTGGTTTATGTTCTTTGAGTCTACTTGGCAAGTAGAAGATATTAAACTTTAAAAAAAATTAGCTGTAACCTTATTAAAACCATAGGAATATTTGTGCTCCTGTAAGTAGCTGAACTACACCTAGGGCTTAAATATGTGTATTTAGTGAATACCTGTGTGGCACAACTTCATGCCAGTTCCTCTTGTTTCATCATTAGATGCCTGAGAAAGAAGTATATCCCCACCTAGCTACAGCCCCCTTTCAGATGGTTGTGGAAAGTGGTAAGATCATTCCTGGCCTTCTTTTTCTCCATGCCAAACAACCCTAGTTCCCACAGCTGCTTGTTATGGGACTTGTGCTGCAGACCTTTCACCAGCTCCATTGCCCTTCTCTGTCCTTCTTATAGTTGGGGGCCCAAAACTCAATGCAGGATTTGAGGTGGTTTTTGTCCCAGTTGGACAAGGTCCTCTGACCTTAACCAAATAGCAAGGGGTTGTTCTGTTATCTTTTGGAGGTTTCTTTTATAATTTTTATCCATGCAAACATATTTTAATTTGGATGCATTCCAGGAAGGCAATTAAAGTACTGCATAACTTTTGGTATATTTTAATTTGTTCTTCAAAGCAGAACTTGCTGATGTAGACTAATCAGCTTTTATGTGCCAGTGAAAGCATGGAACATGATGACAGATGGTAAGCCAGAAAAATTCATGTAGCTAAATATCCACTGTCATTGTTAACCTAGACAGTGACAACTTTGGTGTCATTTTGTACAGGATATGACAGTTTTCCTTCAACTCTAGCTAAGTGTTCAAGATTTACAGGCCACATTTGAACACAAAACATCCAACTGATAGATCAATGAGATAGTCTTGATGAATGCTCCGAGTTCAGTTAGGCACAACATAAGGTTTGTGGCAATATCACTATCAATATTTAATTTCTTAATCAGTGCATCTCTCTTTCCTTGCACTCTCATAATGTCCATCCATAGCCATTTATTCACATTAAACTTGTGGGAGATATTTCAGGTGTCTAATTAACACTGTAGGGGAAAAAGAATCAAGTAAGTTCTGCTGATATTTCTGTTCAATATTTTAAGGGACCTACAAAAGACACAATAAATAAGTTTTATTTAAACTAAGAAATATGTGCCTAAAAATCTTTTCAAGCACTTGAGCTCTTGGTATCAGGAACACCAAAGGAGAAATGCACTTCAAATTAATGTTCCTCCATAAAACCAGAATTTAATGCAACTGCAAAGGTTTTAAACTCTGAGATATTTTAAGATCTCTGTAGTAAAAAGTCAATTCTACTGTAAGAATTAAAATTACTAAAATTTTATTTTTAAAATAATGCTTCTTTTATTGGGATGTTTTAATTGTATTTTAGTTTATGTATTACATAGCTTATCATGCCAGCAAATAGGGAAACACTGCCATGTCAATATTTACTAGAAAGAACATGTTAAGATTTAGGGTAGGAGAGTGGGAAAGAGGAGAGTGGCATGATTTCAAAACAAAGCCAGTTTGAACACCTATCTTCCACTCAAACTACCAGTTTTACTCCAGATATATGGTTCCTAAACAGGCAGTCATATTTGGCACATTGAAATTAAAAACAGTTTTTGGTAATTGATGGTAAAGTTTCTTTTGAGGTGAAGTTTCATAACTTGCATAAGTAAACTTTTCACAGGGCATTGTAGAAAAATCCTTATCTCCACTGAATGTGTTGAGATTCTTTTATTATTTGTGAATATTTGATATGTTTTGTGCTTTTTGATCACCTCTTTCTCTCCGATACTGTTTTTCCAAATGCTTTCTTGCCTCAACCCATAAGTGACAAAAGGTTTTTCAAAGAAATCACACATATATGAAAACCAGTTAAATAAATGAATGGCTTGCCATTGTTACGACCTGAAAAATTTTCAATGAAAATTGCTTTTATGTATCCTAATGTCTTTTAAACACCCCCCCCCCCCGGCAAATTAGGGCAATATTAGTACATAAATTATTAAGTATATTGAGGTAAACAGAATTCAGGCAACAGCCTAATCTTCACTCCTTATTCTGAGAAGCTGACGAAAATACAAGCAAGAGCAACATCAGGTAAAGTCCCCTTCCATTAATACGAAATGGTTCTCTGATTTTCATATTGACTGATTTTTATGCAGCAGTCTAGGGGAAATATACTTTATTTATGCCACTCAATTGCAGAACTGACTCCACATGAGAAAAAAAAGGAACAGAAAAGGAGCATTTTGCAGACATTGCTTTTAAGCTGTGTTTTTCCAGCTTAAGTGTCCACAATAAGGTCTCTCTCATTTTCATATATAAAAGATCTTCATGGATTCTTCACGTATATATTCTTGGCTTTTCTTGAAATATGGCCCTATCATAGGGCTCACATGGCTCAAATGGCAATCCTGTATTTAAGAATTTCTAGTCAGAAAATTTCCTGACTGCAAGATTTCAATATCTTGTGTTCCGACCTAAGAACAGCTGACTTATTCCTCATCACCCAGTTTGCATCCTTCCTTTTTATTAAATTCCAGCTGTCTGTTGTACTTCTGCACATTCAGCTATATCGAAAAACTATGGAGCAGCTCTAATTCTCATATTCAGGACTGAATGTCTATATTATCCTGTTCCCTAGACACTATTGAATTGCCACAGCACTTTTTATGCTTTGCTTAATGCATGTTTTGTTTGTTTTTAAATACATGCAATTTTCTGGAGGGTTCTTTTTTACACTTCACAGTAGGGTGCACACCTCAAAAGAAACAATTCACACACACAAACCTAATGTAGCCAGTCAACAGTAAAAAGAGAAAACCTGCATGGTACTGGCTAATTGCAAAGTAAAATATAAAAAGAAATTCCAAAATATTTCAAACAGATTGTCTGAATGTATAAAACATTGTCTTCTCCCTCTGTGATGTATTACAGGTCTATCAAAAATGTCATACTTAGAAATTGTATTCTACCCCCTTAAGGGTCTTCACATTTTCTGATAAAATGATAAAAGAGTTTCAAACAATGACTTATTTTACTTATGAGGACCATTTTTTTTCTCCAAAATTACAAGGCTTGCAGGATGGAGGACGGTACAGAAATCCCAACAAAAGAAGAAGAATGTCTGATGAGAAGAGCTGGATGGAGAAGAAATAGAGGAGCAAAATATGCTGTGTATTGAAATGAAGACTGATTTGATATTTTAAACAAGATCTAGAGCTGAACACCTTTTTCACATGTTCAGCCTGCTGTTGTGCTTACCAGAGTGCTGCTTGCTGAGAAACATCACATCCAGATTTGCCGCTCAATAGTCTGATACCTCTTTCCTTGGAACAGTCAGTTCATTTCAGCTGTCAGCCCAGTAACAGTGCCAATAATTTCTTAGAGTAGATCAGTAACAATATCTAGATAAGGATGGATGTTTGAGCCTACTGAGTCTGGAGTTCTATTGCATGAGATTATTTTACTGGTTATTCTTGTTTTTCAGCAAGATTTTATATTTAACCCATGTGCCTCATCCGCACTTCTGACACCCTTCCGCATCATTTGCTTAACTTAACCTCCTCCTGATCTTATATTCTTCTGCATGATACAGTATTCTTGATGATCAGCCCAACTCCAACTTCTTTTTCATTTTGATTTTAGAGCTAGAACAATAGAACAACTACTTACTTATTTTCTTTCATTTGAAACTGGGTAAAATTTTAAAGTATTTTTAACCTCCATGTTTCTTCCTCTGAATTACTTCCTACAATCATAAAATATAAAATACATCTCTGAATGACTGATCTGTTGACTTCAGAGAACTTTATAATGTGTTTAACATTCCAACACTTGAAAATTGCAACAAGGCTTCAACAAAATCTTGAAAACAGCTTAAGTTTTTATAAAAGAAATATCCTTTGTTTTCCTTGCAAATTATTTTGGAATGCCATAACTATAAGAAGCAATGAGGGCATCAAAATATTACCGGGTACTAGGTGCATCAAAATTTCATCTATATTATTATGTCAAAATTGTTGAGCAGTGATATGTCAGTCTGGAGGGTTAATCAAAGAATTATTTTTGAAGTTCATCATAAGACTGGAGAAAAATGTTTTTCCTTCATTCTGATGGTAGTCACTTTCTGGATATGTCTAAATCATCTCTGCTCAAGGTTGACCTTTAAAAGCCACATGTCACAATAACATCATCCTGGGCCCCATTTCCCTGCTATTGCAAGCCAACAGAAAACATTTTTTAAGAAAGTGTAAGAACAGTGTCAAAATATCTTTGTCCTTGTATTTACTGAGCATTCAGTTTTACCTCTGCTTTGGAAAAAATAATGGAGAGGTGACCATACCTAACGATTATCAGAAACATTAGACCTAAGGATTTTTCTTAAGGACCAATTTTTAATAACTAATTGAATTTTGTGTTAAACATGTGGGTAACATTTTCCTTAAAAAGAAAAAGATGGTAGGAAGTTTTCTCCCCTTATATAGAAACAGCCGACTTTAGTTTTAAATTCAGTGGATCTTTTAGTACGTGTTTGCTGCAGTCCAGAAAAAGATATATTATCAACCACTAGCACTCCAGCTTTTAAAGAAAGGCAATAAATACACGGCCTTTTGAAGAAATAAAAATGTTTTCCTCTTTATCATCCAAAAATAACAACTCAGATTGAAGACATGAGGGCACTTGACCTGAACCTTTTTTGTTCCTGATGACTTTTGGTTTTTACAGGTTACTTAATCAGCTACAACCTGAAAAATCAATATCTTCATATTTTACCTTAGCTACCCAGTGCTTGCCTCTATATATCTTCCTGTCAGATAGAGGGCTGTGAAGGTGATAAAGAGTCTTGAACTTGGATTAGTACATTTCACAATGTAGATGTGTGATAAAAAAAAATGTCACTATAGGTCAATCAGTCTCCTGCAGAGAAGTGAACTGCATTTAATTTTGGATTTGCAAGATCTTGAGCTGACCAGTTTGGTGGGAGAACCTAGCCCATTTCCACATATTTGTACTTGAATGAAAAAAATATGACAAAAATAAGAAGACAGTGTTTACTGAACCTCGTTGCAGCTAGACTTTTATTTTAGATAAGTGAGTAGAGATTCAAAAGTAATGAAAAAGTAATGATCACAATATGTGAACAGACTTGAAAGATTGCATAAGTTTCCTGCAATCTTTCCCTCTATCCTGCTGTATAACAAAGACAGTAGCAACAGCCAGTAAAGAGAAAATATGCCAAAACATCTTCTCAGAGTACTTTGTGCAATTTCTACAGCTGTATTTTTTGTGTACAGTTTTTCATATGTGTCTGGTAAACTCACAATAATCTGTGTTACATTGTGAAAGCATGAGTATTGTTTTTTTTCAGGAAATATATATGACTGCCACAAACTCAGGATCAATAAAATGAGATCTAAATGTTCAAATTTACTTAATCTCAAAAATCTATCAGTTGAAAGAGATAAGGGAACTTGTTTCCAATGCTAGTGCATGAAACAATAGCCAATATAGATATGTATGTGTAGCTGTGTAGCTGTGTTGCTACAAAATGTGTTAAGGGCCATAAAAAGCGAATAATTCTTTAGAGAGATAATTATTTAACTCAGTAATTCTTTAGGTAGAAGTTTGATATAAATACAAATTATTTGTTTGTGTCTTAATTTGCAAGTTTGAATAGACTCTGCCAATAGGACTGTTATTTCCCCAAAAGTATTTTTCTGCTAAAGGACTTCATATTTGTTCTCATCACTGCAGTAAAACCTCCCTTATTTTGAATAGTGGTCAGCAATCTTATCCAAACCATTCATGATTAAATGTGAGAGCCTTTTCATATTTCCACTATGGTTTTCTCAGCCTCTGTGATTTAGTAAATACAAATCTCTTAGTAAATTATGCACCTCTGAATAGTCAGTTTCAATCATAAGAATCACTATTTCTTTGTGGATATGTAAATCATATACCCAGCTCTCATAGTAGAAGCCTGAAGTAGAGGCCAGATGTAATGCAGTATTTAAGATATTCACACTTGTTTATCGTAAGTTCAGTATTCAATGAAAGATTTGTTAATGTTCATTCCCTTCTAAAAAGTGGTAATTGTATTAATTTCCCAACTAGTGACTTAGTTTGCAATAGATTTAGAAAGATTTTAGTTGAACAAACACACTACCCCTTCAGTAGTTATTCATACAAGTTGGCATGAAGGTGACACTAGCTCTGGCATTCTCATCAGATTTTACATTGACTGAAACTGCCTACAGCTATAAATTTAAATCTGTAAATGTAGAGGTACTCATGTAAAAGGCAGTTATTCACAATGCTAATTTGGGGTATAGTTGCTGCTGATTTTCCTTTTCAGGTACCAAGAAAAACTAGATTTTAATTTTCAAAATAGTAAGTATTTAAATTTTTCAGTGATTATTCTAGGAAAATTATTGAAATCTCACTTTTTCTTGTGCTAATATGCAATGTTTGATAGCTAGTTTTCTTGGAAGGAAGGGGAGGGAGAATCTGTTCCTTTCCTGCATAACCAGAGATTTATTATTGATAGATGAACTCTACACATATGGTGCCACGTAAAATACAGAGTTTAAATCATCCAGCTCCCATATAGTTTCTTCCACAAATTGTCAGAAACTGGATCTCAACTGTAGTATTGTTTTGATCATTATCATAATTACAAATATTTTGTCCAATCTGCAGTACATATACAGACTGATAGTATATTTCAGGATGAAAATATTCTTCTTGTATTAATCCTCAAAAAGTATCTCTTGAGAGGTTTTATTGAATATTAACATCTGCTGATGTCTCAATTTTTTTTTTTCTGTATATTTTTATGTCTATATTGGTAGAAATCTTTAAAAAGCCTATAAGATTTTAGCAGTAAGTTTTAGAAGTAATGAAGAACTGTAGTCTTGTGAATCACACAACTATAGTTACTAATTCTCAAGTATTTGTTTTTCAAAACTTATTTTTCAAAAATATTTAAGTATTTAGCTTAAATTTCTCTTCAGTTTTCCAGCTCTACCCTTTCTATTCAAATATCGTGAACTGACATTTCTAAATCCTAGAACAAAAATTAGAATCAACTTTGTGCTCAGGCCAAGTGACTAAGAGCTTTACAGTTTCCGTCACATGAAAACCTAAATATGAAAACATATTTAAAAAAACATTCAGGTTGTATCATAAACCTGTTTTAACAGCATGTTGCTTTCTTAATACTTTTGCAAGAGATTGTTCTTCTTATTGAATTTTAGATGCAGTTCCACATTATACAGATGCTGCACTTTTGTTTTCCTCTCAAATGCACATTTGAGGGCTTTTTATTTTTAATCAGGATTTTTTTAAAGGAAAATATCTTTTTCCTAGCAAGCTAACAACAGGTGTTACTGTGGAAATGCAGTCAAATGGGATTCCTCCTGTTTCAAAAATATTTTTACAAGCGTATTGTGCCTATTCATGACTCAATCAGTTCTTCTAAATGACATTTTTATAGCTGTGTATTTATATTCCAGGTTTATATTTTCATCCAGTTAAGTTTTTTTCCATATTTTTTAAAATTTCAATTATAAATTATTGTCATTTTAATACAACCTAAGACAGAAAAAATAGCAAAATATTAGCATTATTTATCTAATAATCTCAAACTGGTTTGTAACATTAATGAATGCTAGTATTATTTTCTAATATAGATAGTCCTTGTCATTTCAAACAATTTAGCAAACTGGAAAGTACATGTATAGTAGGATTAAGTAACTTCCCCCAGGATTAAACAAAGAGTTACACAGCTATTTTCTTGCAAGCAGGATGAGCACAGCTAGATATATTTCCTCTGGTATTTGGGGTGAACAATTTATGTCTCATGCGAGTCCAGGCTTGATGGACTGTGGGCTTTTTTGTCTACATTCTTTAATGGGTATTTATAAACCACAAGTGGTTGGTAGACTGCAGCCTGGGATCTATGACTTCAGGGTGCTTTTACACCACGGGTCATGGAACAACTGAAGATTGCATTTACTGATAGAAATTTGAATCCCCTGTCCATGACACTGAAGAACAGTATTGTGGGAGGGGACTTAGGAGAAAGTCCCCCTGAGTTGCCATGGGAGGTGACAAACGTGTAATTTCCCGCCTCCCCTGTTGTCAGTCTTTTGTTGTACCTTCCCCTCGTTCCTGTCCATCATTATGTAAGCCATCCCCCAGTTCTAGAAAGTTCTTCATTCTCTGTACTCCCATTGGTTCCTTCCCTG